ACCTCGTAATCTGCCCACCTCGGCCTGCCAAAGTGCTGGGATTACAGGCATGAGCCTCTGCACCCAGCCTATTTTTTTTTTTTTTAAGTAGAGATGAGGTCTCCCTATGTTGCCCAGGCTGGTACTGAACTCCTGGGCTCAAGCAATCCTCCCACTTTGGCCTCCCAAAGTGCTGAGATTACAGGCAGGAGCCACTGCACCAGCCAGTTGCGGGGCTTTTTTAGATAGTCTTTATCAGATTGGGGAAGTTCCTTCTGCATTAGTCTGCTGGGGCTACCATAAGAAAATACCAGAAACTGGGTGGCCTAAACAGACATTTATTTCCCATAGTTCTAGAGACTAAATTTCCAAGATCAAGGTCCCATTGATTCGGTTCTGTTGAGGCCTCTTTTCCTGGATTGTAGATGGCTGCATTCTCACTTTGTCCTTGAATGCCTTTTCTCTGTGTTTGTGTTGGTGAAGTGGAGGAGAGCTGATGTCTCTTCCTTTTCTTATAAGGACAGTAGTCCCCCTCAGATTAGGGACCCACCCATATGCCCTCATTTAACCTCTTTTTTTTTTTTTTTTAAGATGGAGTCTCACTGTGTCACCCAGGCTGGAGTGCAGTGGTGTGATCTCGGCTCACTGCAACCTCTGCCTCCTGGATTCAAGTGATTCTCCTGCCTCAGCCTTGTGAGTAGCTGGGATTACAGGCGTGCAGTACCACACCCAGATAATTTTTGTATTTTTAGTAGATATGAAGTTTCACCACGTTAGCCAGGCTGGTCTCGAATTCCTGACCTCAAGTTAGCCACCCGCGTTGGCCTCCCAAACTGCTGGGATTACAGGTGTGAGCCACTGTGCCTGGCCTCATTTAACCTTAATTACCTCCTTAAAGGTCCTGTCTCCAAATACAACCTCATTGGAGGTTAGCGCTCCAACATAAGAATTTGAAGGTGGAACACAATTCACTTCTTAATAGCTTCTATTTCTAGTTTGTTGTATGTATTTGTTTTTATCATGGAAGAGTATTGTATTTTGTCAAGTGCTTTTTCTGTATCTGTTAAGGTTAGCATGTATTTTTTCTTTATATTAATATGATGTGCTATATTGGTTTTCAGACGTCAAACAAACTTTGCATTCCTGGGATTAATCCTATCTGGTCATGGTGTGTAATCCTTTTCATATGTTGTTGGATTCAGTTTCCTAAGTTGTTTTTTTTTTTTTTTTTTTTTAATTCGGTCTCCGTAGAGACTGTCAAAAATTGCCAATGCTGACTATATTTCAAGTAGGCATGGCGGGGTATTGGGAAAAGTTTTCAATTAGCAATAATCGCTCCTTGGATAAACCTCATTGGCTACGATACTGCCACTGCGCAAAGCTCAGTTTCCTAAGTTTTAGGGTTTTTTGCTTTTGTTTTTGTTGAGACAGAGTCTCGCTACTCTCTCACCTAGACTGGAGGGCAGTGGCACGATTTTGGCTCACTGCAACCTCCACCTCCCAGGTTTAAGCAGTTCTGTATCTCAGCCTCCGGGGTAGCTGGGATTACAAGCATGAGCCGACATGCCCGGCTAACTTTTTTATATTTAGTAGAGATGGGGGTTTCATCATGCTGGCCAGGCTGGTCTTGAACTCCTGACCTCAAGTAACCCACCTGCCTCAGCCTCCCAAAGTGCTAGGATTACAGGAATAAGCCACTGTGCCCAGCCCTGAGGTTTGTTTTGAGAATTTTTATGTACGTATTCATAAGAGATATTGGTCTGTAGTTTTCTTGTTATATGTCATTCTTTAATATCAGAGTAATACTAGCCTTATAGAATGAACTGCAAAGTGTTCCCTCTTGTTTTTTGGAAGAATTTGTGAAAAATTGGTGTTAATTCTTCATTTTGATAAAATTCATCTGGGAAACATCTAGTCCTGGGCTTTTCTTCATGGAAAATTTTTCTTTTTAAATTATTAATTCAATCTCATTGCTTGTTGTATATCCATTCAGATTTTCTATTCGTTTTAGTTTTTATCTTACTTTATTTTTTTTTTAGACCAGGGTCTTGCTCTGTCACCCAGACTGGAGTTATTTAGGTTTTCTATTTCTTTAGTCAATTTCAACAGTTTTTGCTTTCTAGGAATTCACCTGTTTCATTTGGGTTATCCAATTTGTTGATGTACAATTGTTCATCATATTTCTTTACATTCCTTTTTACTTCTGTAAGGTCTGTATCGGTGTCTCCTCTCTTATTCCTGATTTTAGTTAAGTGTTCTCTCTGTTGTTATTGGTCAATATAACTACTTGTCAATTTTGTTGATTTTTTCCAAAACCAACTTTTGGTTTTGTTGATTTTTCTCTATTGTTTTTATACCCCTATTTCATTAATTTTTACTTTAATTCTTATTAGTTCATTTCTCCTGCTGGCTTTGCATTTAATTTGTTTTTCTTTTCCTGGTTTCTTAAAGTGGAAAATCTGTTATTGATTTAACATCTTACTTTTTATTTTATTTTATTATTATTAATATTTTGAGACAGGGTCTCACTCTGTTGCCCAGGCTGGAGTGCAGTGGTGCTACCTTGTCTCACTGCAACCTTTGCTTCCCAGGTTAAGGTGATCCTCTCCCCTAAGCCTCCTGAATAGCTGGGACTATAGGCACAAGCCACCAGGGCCCTGCTAATTTTTGGTAATTTTTGTAGAGACCAGATTTCGCCATGTTGCCCAGGCTGGTCTCGAACTCCTGGCCTCAAGTGATCCACTTGCCTTGGCCTCCCAAAGTGTTGGGATTACTGGGATTACAGTTATGAGCCACTGGGCCCAGTCCCAATATTTTATTTAAAAAGCAAGATGTCAGGCCGGGTGCAAATAAATAAATTAATTAAATACAGGCATTTACACCTATAAATTTTTCTCCATGAACTAACTTAGCTGGATCCCATATTTTCATATGCTCTTTTAATTTTTATCTATCTCAAATTACTTCTCAGTTTCTGCTGTATTTTTTATTTGACTTATTGGCTATTTTGGAGTTTGTTGTTTAATTTCTACATACTTGTGAACTTCTCAAATTTCCTTTTGTTAAGTCCTTATTTGATTTCATCGTGGTCACAGAAAGTACTTTGTATGACTTCAATCTTTCTAAATTTTTTGAGGTTTTTAAAAATAATGTAGCATACAGCTTATGCTGGAGAATATTCCATGTGCATTTGAAAAGAATGTGTGTTCTGCTATTAATGGAGAAGTGTTCTATATGTCTATTAGGTCTGGTCATTTTGTTTTGTTTTTGTTTTTGAGACAGAGTCTTGCTCTGTTGCCCAGGCTGTAGTGCTATGGCACAATCTCAGCTCACTGAAACCTCCGCCTCCTGGGTTCAAGCGATTCTCCTGCCTCAGCCTCCTGAGTAGCTGGGATTACAGGAGTCTGCGACCATGCCTGGCTAATTTTTGTATTTTTAGTAGAGACGAAGGTTTCACCGTGTTGGTCAGGCTGGTCTTGAACTCCTGACCTCGTGATCCACCCACCTTGGCTTCCCAAAGTGCTGGGATTACAGGTGTGAGCCACCGCGCCTAGCCAGGTATGGTCATTTTATAGTGTTGTTTGAGTCTTCTGTTTTCTTGCTGACTTTCTGCCTGGTTGTTCTATCCCTTATTGAAAATGAAGTTTCATTGTTTACAACTGTTGTTCTTGAATTCTGTCCATTTCACTTAATGTGTTTTCCTTAAGTGCTTTGAAACCATAAAACTCCAAGCCTTTGCTGAGGGGTTCTCTGAGCGTATTGGGGCATGACTTTGATGTTCCAGCAGTCTGGTAACAACGCTGCCTTAGCTTTCTCTTCCAGCTTGTGCAGACCCTCAAGGTCAGGCAGCAGTGAGAGACTAGCCTGTTCTCAGTTGTTTCCTGGCCAGGTACATAGTTCTGCTCATGAGTGTGGCCTTCTAGAGTCCCAGGAATGTGTTGGAGATTTTTAAAGCCCTTAGCGCATAATGTATTCCCCAGTGTGATTGACTGATGGATTGATGTCAGTCTCTAATTAGCCCTAACTCGTACTGCCACCTGAGATGGGTGTGATGTTAAACAGCTGCCACCAAATGTGTCTGAGAATCAATCTAGGGCTACAGCTTTTTGCAGAGTGAGCTCTGAGTCAGGTGAGATAAGGACAACTTTGAGTGTACAGCTTGTTTCACTGAATTACCAGGTAAGTCAAATAGCTTCAATACTATAGGAACTGGTTTTTGTGGAGTGCTCTAAATTTGTTGTGTTCCAGTGGTTCCTAAGCATCTGGTTTTTGTACTCACTGTAGTTGCAGAGATACTGGTTTTCAAGACTACCGTGGAGTTGGAGGGAGGAGGATGATAATACACCAAGTTCCCTATTCTTACTGAAACAAAGCCCTTTTTGTGAGGGGTGGTGGTGGTGGATAGTCTCACTCTGTTGTCCAGGCAGGCTGGAGTGCAATGGCACGATCATTGCTCACTGCAGCCTCTAACTTCTGGTCTTAAGCAATCCTCCCACCTCAGCCTCCTGAGTAGCTGAGACAACAGGCATGTGCCACCATGCCCAGCTCATTTTCTTTTTTTAGACAGAGTCTAGCTGTGTCGCCCAGGCTGGTGTGCAGTGGCATGATCTCAGCTCACTGCAACCTCTGCCTCCCGGGTTCGAGTGATTCTCCTGCCTCAGCCTCCCAAGGAGCTGGGACCACAGGCACGTGCCACCACGCTTGGCTAATTTTTTGTATTCTTGGTTGAGACGGGGTTTCGCTGTGTTAGCCAGGATGGTCTCCATCTCCTGACCTCGTGATCTGCCCGCCTTGGCCTCCCACAGTGCTTGGATTACCACCTAGCGTGAGCCACCGCACATGGCCAATTTTCTTTTTTTTAAGTTTGTTGTAGAGACAGAGTCTCCCTATGTTGCCCAGGCTACTCTCAAACTCTTGGCTTCAAGGAATCCTCCTGCCTCAGCCTCCCAAAATGCTGAGAATGATAGGCATGAGCTACGATACCTGGCCTTGAAATAAGGCCTTCAAAAAAAAGTACTCCTCTGCGAATATTCTCGCTGTTCTGATTTTGTAATAGTCAGGACAGGCTAAACATTCGCTATATTAAGACCATGCGCGTGTGTCCCCAGACCTAGTTCTTTCACTAGGTTTGGTTTTATAAATGCTGGTGATAAACCAATTTTATTGTATGATCATTTTGTGTGATCATATAATGGCTGTGATTCTAGGTTATATTTGATCAACCTTAAGAAAAATGACAGTACAGCTAATGTGATAACTTTTGCAAAAAATCAGTGCTAATTTGCAGACTATTGTCTAAGAACGGATAACCAAAGTAGAGAAATTTTATAGAACCAGTTGCTATTAAAATTAATTGTAAAATTACTGTATTTTTATTTTTTAGGTGATTCTGACATCATTAGAAGCATGCCAGAACAGACTGGTGAAAAGTAAACCATGCAAAATTTTCCTTTAATAAAATTTTTCCGAGCTTGTTTAAAAAAAAAAAAAAAAAAGTACTCCTTGAATTGTTGCAAGACTATTATCCAGAGTTCTGAAAATGTTGATTTTGACCTTTTTTGCCACTTGTCCTCACTGCTTTCACAGAGCAGATTTTTGGATATCTGTACTTTGCTATTGTGGAAATGCTTCTGATTAATATGTTTGTTAAATAGCCATTCTTAATTCCCTGTTTTTTTTTTGTCTTTGTTTGAGCTAAGAGTAATTTTAATAATGACTATTTTGTAATCTCAGCCTCTGCAGGGTGGTTGGAAAGCTGCACTTGGAAACTCTCATCCAGGAAATAGTTCCAGAATCACACCAGAACTGGATTTACAAAGACACCTGTTTCTGCTGCTGCTGCTCTTGCTACACACAGATGCTGCTGCTTTCAACAGTATCAATGCTAGATACTGGATGTTGTTGGTAGAACCACTGCTCATTCTGAAAAGTCATTGCCACCATGGCTGCCCCCTGTCCCAGCATTGATTCCACAAAATTCCTACTTCTTTTGATTCACCAGCTTCCGGCTCAACGTCCAATGCAGGAGAACTCTAATCGGTAGAGCTGAGGTAACATGTCTATGCTTTGGATATAAGGGAGCCTGGGAAAGTGATTTTAAAATTTCTCTATTGGGTGGTACTCTTGGTACACCACGACTCATAGAATGGGAATTCTTCAAACATGGCAAATAACTCTATTTTCCTTAAAACATGTATAATGTCATAATAAAAATGATTTGTACTTAATTTTAAAAAATTTTTAATTGGCACACAATAATTGCACATATTTATTGGATACACTATAATGTTTCAATACCTGTATACATTGTGTAGTGATCAAATCAAGGTAATTAGCATATCCATCACCTCAAACATTTATCATTTCTTTGTGGTAGGTACATACGAAATCTTTTCTTCTAGGTACTTTGAGATATACCTTGTTAACTATGGTCACCCTACTGTAAAATAGGATACGGGCACTTATTCTTCCTTTCTAATTGCAACTTTGTACCCATTGTCCAACCTCTCCCCATCCTCCTCTCCTTCCTACCCTCCCCAGTCTCTGGTAACTGCTGTTCCATTAACTATTTCTGTGAAATCAACTTTTTTAGATTCTACACATAAATGAGAACATGTGATATTCATCTTTCTGTGTCTGTATAATGTCATAATAAAAATGATTTGTACTTAATTAAAAAAAATTTTTAATTGGCACACAATAATAGCACATATTTATTGGATACACTATAATGTTTCAATACCTGTATACATTTTGTAGTGATCAAATCAAGGTAATTAGCATATCCATAATGTCTTTCAGGTTCATCCGTGTTGTCACAAATTTCAGGATTTTCTTCTTATTTATTTATTTATTTATTTTATAAGATGGGGTTTCACCGTGATGGCCAGGCTGGTTTTGAACTCCTGACCTCAGGTGATCCACCCACCTCCGCCTCCCAGAGTGCTAGGATTACAGGTGTGAGCCACCGCGTCCGGCCCGATTTTCTTTTTTTTTT